ATAATGATGATGATGAACAAATAATAATGATGGGTTCTTGTACAGCGATTGTATTTGCTCAAGGCGCTGGATCTGAAGCAAGTCTAACGAAATTGAACGGTTCTAGTCAGTGTTCAACCAAAATAGCGTTCACTTTATTTAGACAAACTATTTATGTATTCATCAAATCGCTGAAAAGGTTCATCTTCATAGGTAATTAAAGTTGAAAATTGGTTCTTTCTTCACAACCGGTAGATATTGTATTGTTGTTTATAATGTCCTTACAGCATACCATCATCACACTCATACTCCACTATACTGGCATACTCCCCAAACACTTTCTTTTAAACGTGCAGTATTAACGGTTTCCTTAGTTACCTCCCTCAGACTTTTAATCGAATCCTAAATTATTCATGTGGTACTCTGTTGAAAGGATGAATTATTTGAAGTTCATCACAGTTTTCACAACAGCTAATGGGTGTGGTTTGATTTTTTTAAAGTCGGTATTTAATTCAATATTGTCCAAACATAATCTAGGCAGAATACCATGAACACTGCTCTCAAGCTGCATGGAAAATAATCTACCATTGGTTTCTATCCTTGTCAATGATCAACGAGAGAAAGATAACATCTGTCTGGCCACATCTCTATGCCAGAGAAAGACCGTGATTTTGTCGATACATTCTTACTTGAAGGTTGATTATGCGTACTTATCTAAACATTTATTTCCATGTATTCTGCAACGGCTAAAAATCTATTTCCTCTTTGCCAAATCACTATCGTATCATAGTTATGAAACAAGATTTCTTCATTGATGCATACTTTATTATGCCCTGTCCCAACCCATAATAGGCTGCTTTCGCTCATATCTTGGAGTTATTTAAAAAAAACTTGTACTGCTAATGGTCAAATATTACTTTGGCAATCATCTTAATAACGATGATTAAAAATCAGCTTGATATTATCACAGATTTGGAAGATTTGAAATCATCATCCTATTGGCCATTTTCTTTCATTTCCATATAAAAAAAATATTCATTTCAACGTGATGACATGGCCAACTTTCTCTCTCTCTCTTTCTCTTTAAAAGTGCATGAGAGCAAACAGAAAAGGAAATTCAATGGGATGATGGATACAGAGGTAATCATCCGGGTCTATAAACTCCTCTACGCACAATCATACAATACTATTGCTTCTCTGCATGTATTTACTGATCATTCCATCATTGAATCGTTTGATCATTGCTTACAATTGATTTTATGTGAGCAAAGCCTCTTCGCCGTGTGTTTTCAAGCTCTCACCGCAGTAACGATAAGGAAGATACACACAGTGGAGGTTTCAATATGGAGGCTCAATCTTCCGCTCGAAACCAAATCAAACTCAATTTACTCAATTTTGTTTTATTAAAAGGAATAAAGAGAACTGGAGACAGGAGGTCAATACTAATAAAAAGTGATACCAAACGAATCCGTCTTAGAAAGTAAAACGAATAAAAACCAAAATAATTTTGACTTTTTCTAGTTTATCGAATATTGTATTACATGGTGGAAAATGTATTTTTGCTCATGGTACAATAATACCAGAAAGGAATATATATATATATATATCAATAGTAATATCGAGGTTTTTTTTTATTAATTTTTCATTTTGGGGTTAACTAAATAAACACTAAAGCGTTTATCGTATCGGACGCACAGATATTTCCCTAAACTGAATTGAATTGAATCGCATCTTTATTGATAAAAGTTCAAATTCACAGCTAAAAGCTGATACATCTTGATTGTACAAATAAGAATACAACATATAAAATGCATGTAATAGTACGAAGTGAAATGGAAAAAGAAAAAGATAGAGCACACAGTAATGAAAGGATATGGTCAAACGAATAGCAGGTTTCAGCACTTCCATTTGAAGTCCAGCTGACTTGATTGGGGGTATTCAACACGTTACATTCTAACACTTCTTTCAATTTCAAGGTTAAATCCTAAACACTCTTTTTAAAATGTCAACGGTGTTCATGGCCTTCCCATCTATCATTTCAACGATGTTCTCTAGCGTGGGAGTAATGAGTATTATATGAAAAACTAATAACAACACGTTGGATTCTAAAAACACTAAAGGAAATTGTTGCCGCACAAAGGGAACGTTTTAAAAACATATAAATATAGTTGAGAGGCGAATTCGTCCATATTTTAGGCTTATTCTCCGTGTTTATAGAAAGGCGTTTTATGAAGCTGGCACGCAGTCTTATTTCGTTTGATAATTTTTTTTTTTTTTTAAAGATAACCTTGTCTCAGGAGTCTGGTGAGATGCTGTGCCATGCCGTGAAATAATCACGTAGGGTTTAGATAGAGAAACCTTTCATGTTGCCAGCCAAGTCATTATTTTACTGTATGTGTTTCTGTTGAGTACAATTATATTCTGGTGTTTCCAATGACACGGCCCAATTATAATCGATGAAAAACTACACCAAACAATGAACAGACATTAATTTTTAAGCGCGTTTCTCCAGTGTACACGTCTCCTCCCTTAGAGAGAATAATAAATCTCTTGCGGGGTGAATCTAATACCCGCTCCCCTTGTGAGAATGGATGTTCAAGGCATCTTCATATAATTAAAGAAACCATATTATTAGAAAGATATGTTTTCGTTAATATGATGTCTAAAACATATAACAGGTAAGTAGTCTGAACCATGAATACAGAAATAGGCCAATTTCTTTTATCCATTCGTACACAAAAGTGAGGGAAGGGTTCCTTCTGCGATGCTTTCCCTTGCCGATGAGTTCCTGGCTACTCACACTGGCAGTGAAAGAACAGGAAATTGACAGGAAATTATAGGCATGAAATGTATCAATAGTCGACCTAAACGTCATTTTTGAGTGTATTCGAGTGCAGCTAATTCACGCCTCTCGTTTTATCACGCACTCGCTTATTTTTGTCCTCCAATTTGTCAGGTTTGTCGCTAGTGCTCTCTCTCTCTCTCTCTCTCTCTCTCCCTCTTTCTCTCTCTCTCTCCCTCTCTCCTCTCTCTCTCTCTCTCTCTCCCTCTCTCTCTCTAACTCTCTATCTATTTCTCAATATTTCGCTCATGATTGATGGTGAATGATAGTTACATGCACAGCTAATATTCTCTGATTCTCTGTTTCCCGAAATAGTCATTCCGTGTCATCCATAAGAGTTGACCCCTCAAATTTACTAAGACCCTCTAATTCAGTGACAAAAAGGTGACCAGAAGGAGGGGCAGAGGCTGCTTATCAAAGAAAACTGATTAACCTGACACAATTTACCATCGGAAAGGGGGTGTCAGACTCCCTTGAAATTCAAAATTAGTATATACTAAGGAATATTATTATCATTATTATTATTATTATTATTATTAGTATAGTAGTAGCAGCAGTATCATTATCATTTTGTAATAATAATGCGATGTCCCAAGCCTGCTTGGAAAGGGTATATTCTGCCGAAGTTCATGGATTAGTAAGGAAAGGGGGAGGCGAATTGTATTCGATTGATGATTTAAAATAAATAACTTGTTGAAATCATTAACAAAAATGGTGACCCTTAATTTCTGGATGAAGTCCAGTTCATCATTTCTCTACCAACTGAACATTAGGTAACAACACGTAATGTATGTAATTCGCAATCTGACTATTGAAATACAATTATTCGTAACAGGTGAATTAAATAATTTGTATCGAGGCACTTAACAAAGATTTGTGCATTAAACTTGATTACATTACGAAAATATCGTATTAGTATTAACCGTTCGTTTGTGTCTCCTTAGATCAAGATTACTGTAATCTTGATCTTCAGAGTAGTTGCTACAACCGGCCGTGTCAGACACGTTGCCCCGGGGAGCGAGATAGGACTCTTGTAGCGTGCCCCCATTTAAAACAATTATACAGTTCTGGATGAACCGCCTTTGCTCGACATGCAGCGCATTGTCATATCGGGTACCCATATATATATATATATATATATATATATATGGATGGTAATATTTTTGACCACTTTTGAGAACTCAGTACAATCTTTTAAAATCTAATACTTCTTTGATGGCAGAAAATTTAGCCACCGAAGTTGCCTCAAGAAAATTACAATACTAAAAATCACATTTATACATCTGAATGGAAATTATATTAAGTACTCATGAGTTTATAAAGGTGAATATTAAAGAGTGCTTTTTCTATACCATAGCATTTGGTCTAACGTTTGGTATAATGGTGTTTTTTTTCGGGATCAGATAATCCATCTTCCAATTGGAAATTGGGTCATTTTTTTATATCATCTGTGATCGACAGCTATACTTCTTTCGTGTAAATAAAATTTAGTCCTGGGTTTAAAAATGTAGTCGGAGTAGAAATTGTAGGGGCGTCGGAAAACCCCAATCTCCGGGAAAATGTAGTAGGCCTAATATCCTCTCTCTTTTTTTTTTTTTTTTTTTTTTGGGGGGGGGGGGGGCGTTTTGTAATGTACCGTCATATATAACTTCCTACCGACAAAATAGTGTATTAAGTATGCTACAGCCAGCAAGATCTACGGCCCACGAGACCAACAATGCCGGTCTAGCAAACTTTCTTAAAAGCTGTCAGGAGGTTCATAAGACCGACGGCCGGCCCACAATGTTTTCTCTCATGCGAAAGAGCTTTTCTAGATCCTTATATCTGCTATGAATTAGGTGGTGTAAGAAACGTGGACCATTCCACAGTTACTAACATCAGTTTTGCGGTAAAAACTATTTTTCAAATCTACCTATATTCAAACCATAATTGTATTGAGGTTTCTTTGATAAAAGGTGAACATCGTCAAAGACATAAGCCGATCAAATGTCTTTTTCCTGAAATGAGTACAAAACTATACGCTTTTCTTTCATTCCAAAGAAAGAAAGGGATAAATTAATTCAGTTAAAGATACTGAAATAAAAATAATATATATTCGAAAATTGAGAAATGAATATCATTATAATAATACAATGAACAAAAATAGAACTAATTGTGAATTTAAAATGACTTTGCCTACCTTGTAGCACTCTTCCCTCTTGACCCTGCAGACATGTTGCGCTGATTCCTGACCGATTGTGTGACGTAAGAAAAAGTGTTTTTCGGTGTTAGCGCGATGATAGTACTTCAGGCTCGTTCAACAATTTCGTGGAATTTCTGTAACATAGAAGAGCGCAAAACATCCTCACAGTAAACAAGATAAATACAATAGTAATGGATGTAAGATCTACAAATAAGCCTGGATTGATTAATGGATCACACAGGCTTCGGTGGATTCCCTTTATGTAAATGATTGAATAGTCAAAGCCATACAAGGCAGAGTAGGAAAAAAATAACGAGAGAGCGAAAGCAAGAGAGGGAGAGAGTGAGAGAGAGAGAGAAAGATAGAGAGAGAGAGAGAGAGGGGGGGGGAGGGAGAGAGAGAGAGCGGGATATATATATATAAATATATATATATATATATATTTAGAGGGGGAGAGAGAGAGAGGGAGAGAGAAAGAGAGAGAGAGGGGAGGCGAGATAGATAGAGAGAGAGAGAGAGAGAGAGAGAGAGAGAGAAGGAATATTTTTAGTCAATATAAATGAGCAGAGGGATTCGACATCGTTATTTGATTAATGTATAGCGGTCGATGTACCCATTAAGCGTTGCCATGCCAACTATAACCATGAACCGCCATTTCATGCAATGTAGATAACTGTGAGAATGTACATAACAGTATACAAATTAATTGGAGTATAGTCACTTTGCACAAATTCATATTCATACAATGCAGTTCTGGTGGCGCGTTTATTAACGAATTATTCATGATAGACAAGCCATGCAATGATAATCAGAGAGCGGTATATCAATGGCGCAGCCAGACCTTGGCCTCAGGAAGGGAAAACGCCAGCATCTACCGTAATGTACATAGTTTAGTGCGTTGGGTGACCCCCCCCCCCCCTCCCCCCAAAAAATAAAAAATAAATAAATAAATAAAAATATATATAGGCCTATATATCATGCAGCGTTTAACTTAAATGAGCAGTAATTTTGAAGGGAACGTGCTTCTTCGAGCGATTCCAAGAACAATTTAAATCATTATTAACTTCTCTCTTTTGTTTAAAAAAATATACATATCGGGAGGGGCAAATTGTCCCCCCCCCCCCCCTTGCTACTCTTTTGAATACGCTAGTGTGGAGTTTGTTTTCTGAGCCATCAAAGAACGTACTTCCACCGGTTAGATCTTGAATACATCACTGAGATGATTATGGAAATATTCATTCGTCGTTTTTATTGTTGATACTTTTTGTTACACAAAGACCGACCAAGGGCATGATTAAAGCGTGAGCGTGGAGTTGCTCCACGGTAGCATAATTCACCCGTATCACTTAATTCAGTATATTGGCATGGCATAAGATGAGAAGATGTAAATGATTAAAGAAATTATTATAAGGAGAATATCAACATATTAAAATATAAAACATCAAAGCGATTTAAATTGTTATATGGAGATAGCCCTAATTTGTCACATTGCAATTCGATTTTTAATGAGGAATTTGCAAAGTAATATATAGACTAAGATTAATAAAAGTGATGAAGCTAATTGGAAGTTGTAGTTTTAATTGCCACCGTATCAAACGTGAATACTCCTAACAATTTAATAAATAGATTCATGCAGCGCCTGAAACCGATTTATCTCGGTATTAACATATCAATAGGCTTTACGAACCTTTTCTTTCTGTGCGTACAATTCTGTATCTCATTATTTATGTATGGAAAGCGAAGGCAAATAAGCTGTTTCGTAATTAAATTTTCGTAAAATACCTCTATGCGAATTATTTGATTCACATATAACGAATAATTGTACCTCAAAATTCGGAATGCGAATTACATACATTAGTTGTTGCTATAGGTAGGGCAATCCATAATGTTTGTCCTACCTAGCAACAACTGATGTATGCAACCTTGAACACATTACGAAAATTGCCTATTTCTCTCACTGGAAAAGCACGTGTTAATGATGCTATTGTTTTCTTTTTAGCATATGATAGTCTATGGCTATCCTAATTGTATTATACCCTAAGACAATTGCTGAATTTGAGATATTTTCGATTGGAGACAATAATCCAGCGGACTGTTTCGATAAAAAATGAATTATTGAACCGAATAAACCACATTCAAGTAAAACCTGACGTAAAATGTTCATCAAAAGAAACAAGGAAATTGCCTTGGTTACCTTTCAATCTTATTAGAAGACATATTTAGCTACGGGAGCAGTGGGTTCTCCAATTGATTGCTACATTCTTTTTAATGAAGAAAAAAAATAGAGCAAAAATCAGGGGGAAAGAGAGAGAGAGAGAGAGAGAGAGAGAGTGTGTGTGTGTGTGTGTGTGCGTGTGTGTATGTGTGTGTGCTTTCTTTTCTTTTATTTATTTTTCAAATATTTATTTTTTAAAATTTTTATCATCATTTTTTTTCTTCTTCATCAATTGTACATTTTATGTAATGAACATGTTTTTAATTCATGTCAAGGAAAAACAACTGCATTTTATTTCTAAAATTATTCTATATTGTTTGGAATCAATAATAAAATAAAAAACTGTTGAAAAAAGTGTGTGTGTATGTGTGGGAGAGAAATATAACAAGGGGAGGAGGAAAGTAGAGAGGGAGAGAGGGAGAGAAAGAGACAGGAAAAGAGCACGTACCTGGGGAGAGAGAGAGAGAGATAGAGATAGAGAGAGAGAGAGAGAGAGAGAGAGAGAGAGAGAGAGAGAGCTGACAACACGCTCCAGACATTCCCTTTACCCATTACCCACTTTTAGAAAAAGCCCCCCCCCCCCCCCCCGCCCATCACCATGCCTACTACGCTACACCAATGGTTGTAAAGCCATGTCAATGTATCAGAGGTGTGCGCTAGTCTAATGGAGATGAGAGATCGGATGCCATTAACAAACAAACCTATTTACTCTGGCGTCTCGGGCGAGTTTACATACCATACGGAGCGGACACCCGTAGACGGATGTTAATATATTGACATCATAATATCATTCCCCTCGGTATACAAGCAATGATGGATGAGGTATTGCTTAAGATGGAGGGTCATTCATTATATGTTTCACTTCAAATTATTTCATTAAAACGAGAACTGTAGAAGAAGAAGAAAGAAAAAAAATCGTAATCGGACCATATCAAACCTTACGATATCCACTTAACTTAATTTGATTTACACAAAATTAATGTTCGAGTTGTTTGTGCATCAAAACGGCTTCCTCTTAATTAGCAGAATGCAATTTGTACCAAACCTACAATTTGTACCAAATGATAGAAATTCATTAGTGCTCCTTTGTGCACGTTTAAACGGGACAATTGTAATTCTGTTATCGACTTTTTTTGATGATATTTCAGCTTTACATGATGGCAGCATTTTGTTGTTCTTTTGTAATTCCACATGAGAGTAAGTCTATATAAAGATGCTCCTTTACGGTGGATATATCAACTGTCGAAATAAAACATTTCTACTTCATCAATACAAAAGGCTTTTTTTCAGATGTGGCTCTAGGTTATAAATGAGATACAGAAATTACACTCTACGTCATCATTAACAAAACATCGTCGTTTTGCGGCGCATATCTTAATGGACCTTTATTGTTATGGTAGACAATAGAGACACGTTGTTTACCTCCCCCATACATTCAAAACATTTAATGTAAAAATCTAAATGGAGTCTGACAGCTTCTAAAAGTATGCAAAGATGAAAGTGGAAATTATTTTTCTCCGACTAATTCGCCTGTTATAGATATATAGTCTACATTGCAGTCGCTCAGCCTACTTTTAGAAAAACGACAACCCCCTCCCCCATTGAAGACACAGACACAATTGCATAGTAGTCTACTTGCAGTTGATCTGATGTAGTTATAATACGTGAATTGCCGGATATACCCCTATTCCTCTTCTTCTCCTAACCATCCTCTTTCCTATCAGTCTTTCTCTCTGTTTCACTATCTCCTCTTTTTCTTCACGTTCATCTCATCTTGTTGTTCACATAGTCAGTTATCATTTTATTTCGGTCTGTCTCTCCCATGGTCTCTCCTCATGCCGCTTCTCTCTCTCTCTCTCTCTCTCTCTCTCTCTCTCTCTCTCTCTCTCTCTTATTCCCATACACACAGGCACTTTCTATTTTCTACCCCCTCATGCTTTCGTTTTCCTCTGCCATTTTCCCTTAATTAAATTAAAATCGTCCCCTTTTCCCTCCTATCCTCTCTTTTTATAGTGTCTCAAAATGTTCAGTTGCCATTTTAGAATTTATTAAAATATTCCATTCCCATTGCCTAATTTTTTTTACCTCCCTATACTGATGAATACTGTGCTTATAACAATGGATTAGTGAAGTTATAATAAGTTATGGTGTCTTCAATACGGTGTGCACTGTGATAATAATGATAAACCCTATACGACGGAAACAGCTAACAATTGTATTATGCCCAATATAATTGATTATATTTAATTTGTGCGTAATAACTAACACTTTGGAAACGAATATTGCCAAGTCTGTCAAGGTAATAACTGCCTCATTTTAGGTCTCGAGTATGCCATTTATTCAATTTTGATATCACTTCATTGACAAGCCCTGGACTTTAGCCGATAAAAAATCGATTAGTTAATGAGAATTTTAATCACCACACTTGGGTGATGTTCTATAGGTATATATGGGCTGATCAATTTAATTACTAACTTATTACGTGCGTCGTGGTATCCCTTCACAGTTCTTTTCCTGTAAAGACAGGAAAGAGGTGGGGAAATTTTTCTTATCCTCATTAATTGAACTGATGGAATCCAGTGAAGGACTTTGGGAATTGTGTTGTCTGATATCATCTATTATTGATCCATTGTCTACTAGAACCGAGTAGTCCCTGTATTATAACTATGGGAAATAGAGAGTTCGGTAGTGAACGGGTTAAGATCATTTTACAGCTAAACAACGTTTGCATGGATGGTGCTTTCTGCATAATTTTGTTTTATCGCGAATGAATCTATGCAAAGCGGAGCCCTCGCAGTTGCTCGGACTGGGGTTACACATTTCCAGAGCACGAGATAGGTAAAAACAGAAAGAAGTTTCCATCTAAAACTTGCAAAATTATTCTTTTATCATTGACATCAAATACAAAGATAAAACATC